TGAAAGCAGCAGTGATGCATACCTTTGTCACGAACAATCGAAATTAAAAAATCGGTGGTTGCGTTACCATTGATGGTTTCAAATATAGTATGGTCTGTGATCAGATCAGCACAAACACTATCAATTTTAAATAATTCGTGGGTTTTCCATGGCGTATAACAGACAATTTTATTTCAGTGCCCAGGAGAGAAAATAAAAAAGCATGATATGGAAAATGTAGAAAAGAAATTAAAATATTTCTAGATACCTAGACGAACGATATATTGTGACCATTTATTATGTTAGTAAACAAGAAATTGGAATAAATAAATACATTTTAGACAACACTTGAAAATTTATTAACTCTAAGAAAAAATTAAAAAGCTTACTCATATCTAAGCGTATACTGATTTCTAAATAATTATTCTATTAGGATTCAGAATATCTGCTCTGCTTTAAAGTAGATACACATTCTTTTCATGACTTTATCTCTTACATTCTTTGCATCTATCCCATTTTCTCTCTGAAATTAGGTAAATCTCAACGGATGACATTTTGTCTTCTATTCAAACAGCTGATAGTACTAGCTTAGAGGAATTTGTCAACAAATATTAAGCTTTTATTTTCTGTCTCTCCTAATTCTGGAATAGTGTTGCATCTGCGGGTGCAATCTTCCACTTACATTCCAAAGAGGTGGTTTAGTGGGTTCAAGTCTCATATGGTGGCTTTCGATGCTTCCACCTACTGCAACAAAAAAAAAAAATAGCTGATAGTCTTTTTTTCATTTAGTTTCAATTGTTAACACAAAAAGAGCAGTGTTTCACTCCATTAGACTTTAGTACCCTGTTACTTTTCATTCGGTTCTATTGGTAATATAGTTATTATACATGTTTTTTCACTTAAGCAGTTCTATGTGATTTTAATTATAACTATAATAGACTTATGACTAATGTGGTATTAAATTATTAATTATAAATAAAATTTTATGTATAAATATTATTTTTTTTTAGCAAATTTTTTTAGACAAATCAAATTTGTTTTTAATAGTCTAAAGTATTTATTATTAAATATTATTATTTATTTCAGTTATATTTTGTAAATACACAAACCCAAAACTACAAAAAATTAGTTCCCCAGAAGTGTCAATATTCAAAGAATAAAAGATTAATGGAAGTTAATGGATATTTTAAAGTAACATTTTTATTATTTGCATATAATATTATATATCATTAATAATTTTATATTGGATGACAAAAAAACTCTTTCGAATATTAAAAGATGGTAATAGTACGGAAGTCTTCAAATCCAAGAGAAATTTCCTTTAATCAAGGAAACTCTTGTGTTGACCATACAGTTCTTCGGATATGGTTAAATGTTAGTAATCAGTGATATATGGTTTTGAACGTATATAATTTTTGGACCATAAGTGTCAGAAAATTGAACCATACGAACTATGAACCGGGAACCCGTGTGTTAACACACAAAGTCAACGTAAACTTGATTTGTTTTATTTAGTTTTAAGGTTTCTATAAAAAATATTTTATATTTTACTATTAAAATAATATTATGCTTTTATTTTTATATAATTTAAAAATTTTTTATATAATATAAAAAACTATATTATATTTATGTTATGTTATGTTATTTTTTTTTATATTAATATAAATTTCTAAATTACAAACTTTTTATATAATATAAAAAAATATCATTTTTCTCTTTCTTATTTATTATTAATATTATGTATATAACTGAAATCAAATCGAAATAACAAATATTTTAATTTTATAACACATTCTATATTATATCCTCACTTAAAACCACCCAACAACAATTTACTTAATATGATTCATTTCTAGCCAAGCTCATTTCTAGTCGAGCTCAACGTTATCAAATTCCGCAATTAGTAAATCTAAACAAACTATTTGAGCTTCAATAGAGATTATTGCTTTACTTTAGTTCTGGGTGGAACCATTTGTGTGATATAATAAACTAAATAAATATTTTTTAGTTAAAAAAAAAATTCTTATATGTAAATATCCGTCTTTAAATAATTTTGGTAAGCATTTCAGTCGAAACTAATAAATAGCAAGAAAACGGTAGTACGTTCTGTATGATTGCTTAAATATTCCTAAGTAATTGTCTGCTTACTCAATTCGACTTAAAGATACTATCAATATCAGCAACCTTGTATTTCAGAATTGTATATATTTAACTAAAAACATTAAAATTAGTATTTACTCATTATTTAGATAAAACTCTTAGTCAAAGATAAACAATCAAGTTCATTTAAGTTTTAATTATTTACATTATCACCTACTTTACTTAACTATATAAATAAAGCAATTCGCAGTATATACATGATTTACAAATATTTAATAAATTTAGTATATACATGTACATAACATATTTATATAAATGTATGTATGTATGTTAGTATATTGACCAGCAGTCAACAAGATTAATTCATGAATTTATTAATCGAAGATGTGACTTTATGAGAAGGGCGTTGACTGCATTTAATCAGCTTTAAAATATTTAATGAATGAATTTCAAAATTTGTAACTACTAATGCCTCAACAAGATAATAAAAACTAATGGAATGCTATATTTTAATAATAAATTTATTAAAGATACATTAACTGATTTAATAATACTTTTTGAAATATTTTAATTGTTTTGTTTAAATATTCATCTAGTTTTATATCAAGACAATGCATCTGCTCACACAACTCAAAAATGCATCACCAAAATTCATAAATTACTGCAGCAATCAGCCTATTCGACAGATTTTGCTCCCTTTGACTTAAAGCATATTTTTATGGATAATGGTTTTCATTAGATAACCTTAGATAACAGTTACCGTAGAGACGTGTCTTGTAGAACTTCTGGAAAATTACTGCAGTGATGAGCCCCATAAGTAAGACTATCTATAAATTAGCGAACTGTTAGAAGAAGTGTACTAAAGTTCAGATAGATTATATCAAAAAATAATGCAATTTTCACAACTACTATAGGTATGTTTTATTATTCTAGTTCCGCCAACTTATTCAATAATCCTGTATATAATAAATGCAGGCTTGTGATGAACAAGCCGTATAGTTTCAACATGAAAAGACTAATTATTGATGTATATCCTATAAAAACACAAAACTTTATTTGAATATAATTTTTCATTTGCCAAAAATAATATATTATTGTTGAAAATGATGGAACTTCAATTAAATGATGTATCGAATAATAGTTAAGAAATAAATTATAACTTATATTTTTTTTATAAATAAAACAAATTTAAGCAGTTCTAATAGAAATATCAATAATTACAACACATTGATTCACAAAGCAGATGGTTTAAAAATGCCTAACGCATCGTAACTATGTCGTCACAATAGTGGTATACCCGGTTTGCACGGACTAAAAACAATCCCCCTCATGTAGCACAAATTTCACAAATAGATGGCCTATATTGATATGAATGGTCTTAACGAATACTATTTTGTGGTTATCGCTTTGCAGTGTTACCATGTTAGTTCATTACTAAGCTTGTTGCTCGAGATCGAGAACACCCCTCATATATAAACTTTATTTAATAGACTAATAATGATTGGTTTAGGTGGATAAAAAAATCAGTGCTTTTCATTCACATTCTATGATGTAAGAAATATTAAATAACAATAATTTTTTTGAACCTCTTTAATTTTATTTTATTTATTATAATTTAACTTGACATTAAGTAAATGTTTTATATAAGCTATTCAAGATATTACTAATACTGGCACGAACAATGTCTTATGACATATGTATTTATATTATAATTAGATATCTTTGTTTCTTTTCTTCTTTCCGAATGGGTAGAAAATTACCTTCTCCCAAAACATAGAAAATGAATGGTTTCAGACCTACAAGTAGCGAGGCTGTTATTGCTGGAAACTCCAGTGTGTCGTGGGATAGAATCCATATCTGATTGTTCTAGAAAAGGATATTCAGCTTTCTAAGAGACTTCATCACCAGTCTTGATGTCACCTGAAGAGAATTATGAGCCTTCATTGCTGCCTAACTATCAGTTAAAATGGGCTATGATTCTTATAGTTACGTTTGTGTTTAGAATATACACACCTGTCAATAGCATATATTTCTGCTTAAGGGATAGTTGTGTTTTTATCCAGCGTTTACAATTATTTTAACTGCAGTTCATAAACACCTGGTGCGGCTACTACTTTAGTGGGAGAGCTGTCCATATTTTGGATTTCAGATAAACCATCTAATTTTTATTACTAAGTTTACTTTTAAACTATTTTATGCAAAGAAACGAATCATAGTATAACAAGCTTAATAAGAATTTGTAAAATCTATATATCTCTATGATATTTTATATAACTCTTAAAATATTAGAACAATTTTATATATTATTTTTAACTTTTTTTATTTTAATATCTGAACATTAATTTTTATTAAATCTAAATCTACTTCAATAGTAGATGTATTATTTAATAATATAATGTTGAAAAAGTCAAAACAACTTGTTGTAGAGTCCATCGTGTGACAAAAAGAGTTTCATTTACATTAACGATTATTATACTAAAATAATCGGCAAGCAGGTAAAGCGCGTTTTATTTTACACCTTTATTTGTTTTAAGAAATAACATAACATAACATATAAAAATTAACATAACAAATACTATATGCATGGAAAAAAAATATATTATATATTGCCAATTCATGTAAACAAAAACTAGAATTAATTCTGTTCTCCTATTTTGAACTATAGATATATAAATTCAAAACGTATTACTTTTATTTAAGTAAGGGCATTTCTAACATTAACTTCCATATAGAATGTTCAAAAAGGGACTGGCCAAAAAAAAGCCCTTAATAAATTAAAAATTATTAATCCAAACGGTTATATATCAATATGTAGTCCATTTAACATTTTTTAATATTATGTCTAATCTATATATGAGTCTTTTTATACTTAAATGTCTACGGAAAATAAATTTGTTAAAAAATTTTTGTATTCTCAAATAACTTTATCTATCCTCCTTCTTATAAAACAGTTCTCCATCCATAAACCAATTAGCCTGCAATCGAAGAAAGATACTTACGTCTTTTTGGATAAAATCAAGATTAAAAACATCTTGTTTTATACAAAAGTAGAAAGTATCTCTTAATTATATTATTGATATTTACTTATTCATTTATTTATAAAAAAGGTATAACACTAATAATATACCTAAGTGAAAAGAAAGTCTTGTCAGCAGAGTCCTTTGATTCTTAGAATAAAAATATTTTATAAAAATTGAATGAATTTGACTTTTAGAATTATAAACTATGAACTATGCAATAGTAACACAATGGGCCAACTGGCCTACAAAAAAAAAAACAACTGCTCTACTTAGCACTATCTAATCTCAGAGTAATTACTAACCGCACGGGGCGGTACACAGATCTTAGATCAGTGTACCAGTGTATAATCACGAAGCTTATGAGGAATATATAAATTAGTCAGTGAGATGGGTGGGACTCTACAGAAATCTTCTAGCTATCAAAGAGTAAAAGTGCCCAGATGCACTAACTCGGAAAATAATAAAAATTATAATACAAATAGATTAAGAAAATAAGATTTTTAAATGAAAGTGAAAAAAATTCTAAATTGAATTAAGACATGTTATTTCTGTCAGAAGTTTTTAAATCGAATAATGTTTGAAAACGTATATTGAGTCAGACGATAGGAAGAGATATAGGAAGAGAAAGTACAATATCTTAGATTTACGTATCCCATTTATTCTTTAAAGCATAAAATCGACCACATTTGCTCATACATGAATGAATTGTTTTATTTTTAATATAATGACGAACTTCGAACTTCACTTTTCACAATATTTATTTAATCCATATTCTAAACACTTAAAATTAGAGGAAAAAACCACCTTAATATTATTTTAATACAAAATCTTTTAAATTCGGTTGAAGTTAATTTTGAGCGATATATTCTGAATTAATAAACTTTTATAATATTCTACATATAATAATTAAGTACAAATAGTGTAAACTGCATATAATATATTATTATTGTAAGAGCAACAAATTAAGTGCTATTTATGTTAATTATTAAAATATTAAAGATTATTAAGTTGGGAGAACTAACTTGCACTGCGACCTCATTGCAGATACTTGTAAGCATTGACATGAAAAACCAATTGCAACAAAATCAATGCTTCTCCAAAGCAGCCTTTTAATATCCATCATTTCCTCATTGTCAGATACATTCAATATTCTTTATATTTACAAATGTTAATCTTACAGATAAACATCAATCACAACAGTTTATTGCACTGAAATGCATGTAAATATTTTACGATTAACAATTTAACTTAAGTTTATGTTTTACTAAACTTTACTGCATGTAAATAGTTTTCCGGTTTTAAATTTTAACTTGACTTTATATCTCTTGTATTTATTTTTATTATTTATTTTATTTTACTTTTTTTATTTTAAAACATAGTTTGATCATTTCATTACCAAGTGTACTTGAAGGCTGGTTTCGTCTCTTTTCTTGATTACTTTTATGCATACTCGTATTTACAACTTCAAGTACATTTTCATTAGGGTCTTCCTTTGCTTCTCTGCAATGCAATCAAAAAATTTGGAATCTGGTTTTTAATTTGTTTTAAAATTCATCCAATTTTGGTATAAAAGCCATTGTTTTACTCAAAACGAATGCAGACAAGCTTTTGGATTAAAAAACGCAGTTTAGTTTTGAGTTAAAAGAAAAACCATATAAAATGAAATTTTTGACTTTGGTAAGTAGTTGAAGGATAAAAATAGTAGTAAAAAAATTTCAGTTTAAATTATA